AAAACAGTCATGACACAAAATAGCTCAGTTTCTGAGGCAAAAAAAAACATATACAGAAGTAAGAGATTTTTTTTACTTATATATAACATCCACATGGAAAAAGAATATACAGATACTTTCTATTATTCGTAATGGATACATTTGAAGAATATAATCTTTGTTCTCTTTGTCTTTCGACAACATCTAATTATCTTCTTGATTGTGATCATTGTCAATTACAATTTTGCTATGAATGTCTAGTGGAACATCATCATATCAAGATTTATAATCGTCTACGCAAACAAATTCAAGATATCGACGCTATTATAGCTCGATTTATTGGTTATGCACACAATCAAACCGAATGGGTTGATCATTTAACACGTGATCGGCTTGATTTACAGATTTTTCTACGTTATATTCAAGAAACACCATCACACGTTACCGTGAATTATTTGCCAACAGAATTCTGGTTAGAACATGTTGATGATCTAATAGAAAAAGATCGTTTTGCTATTGATGACAATTGTTTTTGGTTACTTAATGAATCGAAAAGTTTAACATCAATAGCAAAAAAGTTGAAAAAAAGCAATAAGAAAAGTGGTTGAATGTATATATATATACCGTAATCTACAACTTCAGATCCAATCTAGATTAATGTCAAACAATATCGCTGACATTACTGAATGAATTTAATCAAAGATTTTCCTTTTGTTGAAGCATTGAGTATTGTTAGAAATTTTCAATATAAAAGAATTATACATTAATTCGTCATTGACTTATAGTCAACATTGTTGTACCAAGAATGTAGAATGTTTGTAAATAAAAATTGGCAAAGTTTCGCTTATTTAATCAATTATTTGTTTTTGTTTGAATTGTTTGAAAAAAAAATGAGTCTAAATTTTTTAAAACTCGACTAACTGCCGATCTTATCAAGCCTATGAATCGAATAGGTAGGCAGAACAACTGAAAGATTTATGAGATAAAAACAAGCAATGTCTGATCGAATGAAACCGATTTCACTTCCAACAACAGTATTATCTACCAAAAAATAGTGCATCAATACGGTGGAGTACGAATTCTAAACTGATAATAGAATGTAATAATAGAAGTAAAATTGTTTGCACTGCAATGACATATTCTAATGAGTCAAGTTTGAAAATCTGTTTGCTAAGAACAGAAAGTATATGTATAATAAAAGAATCGAATATTATTTGGTCATAGTAGAGAAATACCATTAATGCTCTATTAGTTCTTGAGTTGAACGACCAATTATAAATTGAATATTCGATCCATTGATGGAATTTTGTAAATGAACTTTAGATATTTCGATCAAGCTCTCGATTGGGTGTAGGACTAACATAGCTGAACGATAACCTTTGATATAGACAGAAGTCCATGATAGTAAATTCGTTACATTGATTTCCGAACCAATTATTATTCCGACAGTCACATCATAGTTCTCAAAATTAGCAAGAACTGTTTCAGTTGAATCTTGAAATGTTAAGTCAGAATTTGTGCGCGGTAAATAAGACAATCCAGAATGATGATCTTCAAATAAGATACGATATTATTGTTCTTCCGTCAACATAATCCGACGAACATTCATAAATCTACAGTCAAGAACAAACATTTAAGCAAATCTATATTTTTCAAATTTTCTTTCACATTATTATAGCGTAAGGACCTGATTAAAATGGTGATTTAGATAGTATGAAACGCAAGTTACATGATACACTAAAATAGAAAGGAATTGCATCTATCAAAATAGATTTTACATAATGAAAATGAGTTTTTCCTGTATAAATAAATTTAAATGTTTTCCAGTATTTTGCATTTCCCAACCAAGATAGACCAATCGATAGAAAATTTCACATAAAAAAAAGTTTTCTCCCCAGAATTAGTCTTCACTTTAGAAATCTGATTTTAGCGAGAATAGTCGGAAAAAGTGCAATTGGTTCTTACAAATTCTCTCTTATCGCAGTTTATTACATGCTATTAAAATAAGCATTCAAAACAGAACAAATTTTTTTTTGACGGAAAAAGCAATTCGCTATTCTCGTGAAAAAACAGATTTTTGAAGTGAAGACCAACTCTCGAAAGAAAACCTTTTTTTATGAGAAATTCTCCATCGATTGGTCTATTTGTTTTTCATTTTAGGATAAATCTCTTGGCTAGGAAATGCGAAATATTGGAAAGCATTTAAATCTATTTTTGTGTAAAAAAAAAACTATATAGACAAACAGAGTTCCCTACTATTTTAGTGTATCATGTAGCCGACGTCTCATACTATGTACACCACTATTTCAATCAGGTCCATATCTTTTTATAATGTGAAAGAAAATTTGAAAACACAAATATAAGAAAAAACTAAATTTGCTTAAATTTTTGTCGTTGACTGTAAACACCATTTTAGTGTAGTTTATGATTGACTACGATCTACTGCAATGAAAAATATACATCATTCAATACAATTGGCCAACAATACAAATGAGATGGTTGATAGAATACTTTATGACTAGGTTATTTCAAATTGTTTAATCCGTATTTGTAGTAAATGACAATATCACATTAGTTTCGAGTCAGCGACGGAAAGAGTTTAATGATTTAAACCAGTAAAACAGTCAGTATATACAAAAACAGAGATAACTCAGTCGTAAAACATTTTGTCAACCAACTTATTTATAGTGTTACTCAATTCTATTGAAAGATGTGTATTCTTTATTGAAGCAGATTGTCATCAATCATATACTACACTATAATAAAGTACTTAAGTCACCTTTCTAACTGGCTATCATCTGAAAGTAAAGAAGTTCTACACAAAAATAATGATGGAGGAAGAAGACTTTTGCCCAGAGGTGTGGCTGAGGTATTGTCTTGTCATTTGGAAAATCGGTTATAAGACTGCAGTTGCTGCTATTTTCCACTCGTATATTCCTATTATGAACAATTTTTTCTGTTAAAATCATCATTTCAATTCTTTTTTAGCATTTAAGATTACACAAAAAAAAATTGATAATAAATCTTGTTCAATCATTTTTTTTTATTATAGTCAAATTAATAGCCACTCATGTTTAAAAACTAAAGAAATACAAGAAAATGTCAGTCTAAGACGAAAGCAGATATATAGAGAAATAACTATAAATGTTTTTTCTATCTTGATGAGTCATCAGATATTTTTATTTAAGAGAACGAAAAAATACAAAATATGTATTGCATAACTTCAATGAAGAACAAAATAATATAGTATTAAATAAGAAAGGTAAACGTTCGAGCCGCGTTCTCGGGTTAAACCAACAACAGACTTACCATAAGAGACTAAAGCTTTTGGAACGTGGAACTTCGGTTTCACAAACCCGAGAATAAATTGATACTCGATCATTTTTTTTTATGTATTTAAATTCTCTGAAACTCTATCGAGTGTTAAAAATCAATATTTATTAATAATCCTATTTAATCAATAAACATAAACCAAGAAGATACGATCGAAACATTTTTTTTTTCCATGAAAATTCTTTCTACGGATGAGAAGACATACAAACTTGACAACAGCGGAAGAAAAGTTTGATGGCTCGGCAATTTTTTTCACATGGTTATGCATTTATAAAGTTCTCTTTTATTGAATTTTTTCTTTTTATAAATTCTAATAACATGTAGTAAACATAGAAAAATGATAAGACGAACACTTTACATATGAAAACTTTTGACAAGAAATCGGACTTTTCACCTGAAATCTTTGTTTTTTCATATCAAACCTTTTTTTGTGATCCATCAAAGCGATGACAACTTTTTAATTAATTCGATGAGTTAGAAAAAAACTTTGAAATAAAAAGAAAATTTTAGACGAAAAATCTAATTTTCATAGAATACTAATGTTTATGTCATGGTGTTGGAGCAAGTGACACTGGTCCACAAATAGCGGAGTCACCGACGGCACCGGTAGGGAGAGTCCATTCCATACATTTTGCCAAACACGCAGCATAAGCGAGTGGTTCTGCTATTGCGTTTGTTTGTGATAAACAAATAATCAGTAAAATAAATATTAAGTTTCTCATTGTTCGTGTGTCTATATGTGTAAAAAAAAATCCGTTATATTAGATAATTAGTTCGATTTGATGAAGAGCAAATTGTTTGTTTTTCTGAAGAACTTTTCTTCTCTTTGGAACAATCTGTTTTGTTTTTCAAGTCTTATATACTATTAAAAAATTCAATTTTTGAGATATTTCCCATTTTATCATTGATTTCTAGTCCTTTTGATGAAATCCCAGTTTGCATTGCCATTTATTACAACAAATAGATGAGTAGCGATAATAGTCTATTCTTTGATATGCGTCATATAATACAAAAAACGAAAAATAATCATGTATTGTTTTATTATTTGATAAAGGAAAAAAATATGAAAATATCGTTATCTTTTCATATATCTAAGCCAAAACAGCATAAAGTAGAGACGACTAACATTTGCTCACCTTAACTTTTTTCCCTCATCTTCCTCCTGTGAGTAATTATTTTTGCGATGTATGTATCGCATTCCTAGCAATCAGAATTGTGCAATTGACGCGTTATAAGACATGCAGGTATGTATACATGGGTGAAACATTGATTCAAAACTAGTCATACGAAATGTTTCAATCTTAGGTAGAAATCATCATGAGATATGTTTAAAATCGTAAGCACCACATTGATTAGTCATGAGTAATATAAAAGCTGAAGTGTGGATATGGAGAAACGATGCGGGCAAACACCCACACCCAACTTATAGATTGAAAAGTGTGCACCAAAAGAGTAAATTTTACCATGAATAAATTCTCTGTTCGCGAGTGCAAAGATGTATTTTTCTTTTAAATTTGAAACAAAATAGAACTTTTTAAATTCTATTACACAGACAGTTAAACGTTACCATATTTCAAAATTAGGACAGAAAAAAAATATGATAAAATTTAATTCTATACTTGAAAGTTGTTATCAAAACGATAATAAATATTAGAGATATTGAAAGGCTCATTTATTCCGCCATACTCGTTAATTTCTGCCATGTAGATACATCAAACTGTTGTGATCATTTTTAGATCATCATGATAAAATTTTCATTTGCTTCAAACACATTATTACTGTCCATTTCAAAGTTTAATGTGCTCCACTGTTTTTTTCAATAACTTTTGATAGGAATATCATAGAGATCTACGGTTTTCACTATTCAAGAAAGAAGATCCGGGCTCGTTGAAATATATCAAAATTTGATTGATTAGCTATTTCTTTCGATCTATGCAGTAATTTTTCATGCTGAATCGAACAGTCATATTCATTTTTTGAATTCAAACTCTTCGAACACTTTCATTTCAACATTACACGAATTTTATAATCAGTCTCCATATAACGAAGGAGTCAGCTCTTCGGAAATATTGAGATTTTTTGAGTCATCACAGATTCTCAGGAAATGTCTTATAAACCTTGCAAGGAACAAGTTAGGAATGTCGACCTTGTGTAGATCAAAAGAAACATAGTGTCCTCGAAAATCTGTGTCAAGAATTTATCTGATTGGTCAATTGTTAACCAATCAAATTTTGATGATCCCGGATCTTCTCTCTTGAATGCTGAAAACCACACGTCTCTATGATGTTTCTAACAAAAGTTATTCAAAAAACAGTGAAGCACATTATATTTTGAAATGCATTGTACATCGAAGCAACAAAAATATGGTGGAATATATCTTTTACGCTTTTAGATTAGAAAAAAAACTCATTAATTTTCTTTTTGTTAAAACAATATATTGCACGAAAAAAAAAATGAAAGTAGATATCTGTAGTTTTGTTTATTAAATATGTTGAGTTTTTGCTTTGTCTGCACATACAATAGCTTTTCGTATAATATCGGTACATTTTTCACGTCGTACTAATTTATTATTTTCAAAATAACCTTCATTTCTTGGTAAACCATGTGAACCATCAGTAAATGTTAAAAGACCTAAACCATAGATTTTTCCATCTTGAAGTTGACCTTCATATTTCATACCATCACAACGAGTAAATATACCTAAACCATGAAAACGTCCTTGAGAAAATTCACCATCATATCTAAAAAAAGAAATCAGATGATTGTTTCTTTTTTTTCGACATCTTACTTTGATCCATCTGGATATGTTATACAACCAAGTCCAGTAAAAAGACCATTTTCAAATCGTCCACGATATTTTGCATGATCAGAAAATATTAATTGACCCAATCCATGTCGTTGACCATCTTCATTCCATTCACCTTTTTAAGAGAACATTAATTTTCTTAATCAAATCTATGTTGTTTTTTTTCTTACCTGTATATTCAGATCCATCAGGATATCGATATGTACCTTGCATATTACTTTATTTCTCTACAAATGTAAAAAAAAGAAAAAGCAAAATTCATGATTAATGCTCTTCTTGTTCGATTAGAAACGAAGAAAAGAAAGAAATAAAAGATGGTAGGTAACGCATTGAGTATTGTAAAAAAAAAGAAAGAAAAGAAAGTAACATTTACGTCCACATGCAAACATTAATCATCGATAGTTAAATACGAACGTATGTCATCTCAAACAAAGCTCAAAAAAAAGAAGAGAATAAACAGAACATTTTACTTCGTTAAACGTTACACATGTAAAAAAAAGGATATAAATGCATTTCACATATTTTACTTGACTCAATTTCGAAGTGTTTTTTTCAGCAAAAAACGTTTTATCATTATGATCAATCTACTTTTCTAAAATTCTATATAAATCCACTATTGTATAATAATACTAGTATTTCTCAGATTATTTCCTTCTATATACAAACGAGATTTATATTTAACATTGATCGATAGTTGTTTCATTTGAGTCACAATAATTGTTTACATTAAGGATTAATTAAACTTAATAATGAATGTCATGTTTGTTGATAATGAGATAAATTAACAAAGTCATATTTCAATGTTATCAAATTCAACATTGTCTATGATAATACGTGCAGTTTTAGAGACTCTTTCTTTCTTAATTATAAATAGCGGAAACTTTAAATAAGATGTATTTTAATTGTATTAGAAAGAAGATATTATTTCAAATAATTAATTGATAAAGTAAAATTGCTTCTCATCAAGTAATGATCCACTTTTGAGATAAATTTAACCTCATTAGATAGTTTCTATTGAGAATAGACAATACTTTAAACAAGTTCGTGTTCAAGAGTCTTGCTTATTGAATAATGACTATTGTAGTGAATTTTTTTTCAATTAAATTTTGTCCTTAAAGTCTTCAAAATTGACTTTCGATGCATCTTTTTAAATTTTCTCTAGTCCAGATAGGAGCTACAGAAAGAAGCAAAAGTCATTTCAAAAGTGACTTATCATTTGGTGAAATTGCCTCGTCAGATAAATATCTTGTAATTGACGCCGATATAAGTATATGAATTGATTAAATACAATTGTGTATATATCAATGGATAGAAAAAGACTTTTTAAAACGAATTTTATCGCTAATCGAAGATTTTATTTCTTGATTTACGGTCACTGTTAAATACATGCTGACAAAAAAAAAAAAAAAAAAAGAAAAGAAAAATTTATCCCACCGGTGCTAAGCAAATGCTTGCATATTACATGGGACATTAACAAAAGGAGAAATTTTTTTTTTTTAGTCTATCTAAATGGTTGTTGTTGTTGTTGTTGATTTTGATAATGATCTTTTCGATATTGTTTTGCATCAAGTTTTTCACGTTCTTTAGCTTGTTTTTTTGTTTTATATCGATGATTTTGAAACCAAATTTTAACCTTAACAAATAAAAAAAAAATATATACATAAATTTCAAATTTCTACAAACAAACTTGTGTTGGTGTTAATTGAAGAATATTTGCAAGATTTTCACGTTCGGGTGCACTTAAATATTTTTTTTGTTTAAAACGTCGTTCTAATTCATAGATTTGTCCTTGATTAAATAATATACGACGTTTACGTTTTTGTGATACAAATGGAAATTGTACATATGCTGATTTCATCATTGGATCTTGATGATGTCCATAAACACTTGCAGCTAAAGCTGCACTATCAACAGCTGTTGATGATCCAACTAAATATCGAGACACTAAAAGAAATCAAAAAAAGAAATTTGATTTTTTTTTAATTTTGAAAAAGAAAAATTCGCCCATACTTGCTGCTGATCCATACCAACATGGACTTGATGAATATTGTCCTGTTGAATTTCCAGTATTTTGAAATGTACTACTATAATCATAATATTGATTATTTGGTGAAAATGTTGTTGCTGTTGTTGATGATGATGAACCATAATAACTATTATGTATTGATGATGGTCCAAATGTTGGACTAGAAAGATTTGTTGATGTTGTATGATTTGATGAAAGTTGTGTAGAATAAACTGATGATGATGATGATGATGAAGCAGCTAAGGCATGTGCCATTTCAATTGAACGTTTATAAGATGTTGAAGCATCAATATCAGATGGTTGAAGAATATCTGTTACACTAAATGGCATACCAGGATTGTTAGTTAAAGTTGAAGGAGGTACCATTGAAGGAGTCGAGCTTCGTTTTATTTGACTGAAAATTTAAAAATAAAACTTCCTTTTTTTTTTTTAAGAATGAAAAATTTTTTCAATTATACTTAAAATAAAGTTTAATCATGTAGAAAATTTTTATCAACGTTCTTTTTTTTTCTCTCTTATTCAACTGAAATGTAGTAAATATACGAGAAAATTTATTAATAATTGAATAAAATCATTCGATTTTATTAGATAAAAATCTATTGAATTAACATTTTTCACTCGTTATACAAAGTTTCAAATCAAAAATCAGTTTTCCTAAGCGACATTATATTTTTAAAAAAATACTGTAAAAATGCAGTGTCACTGTAGCAACAAGCTAAGAGTGCGAATTCTTTTCAATATATTCATAGGTCGTTTGGATCTACATAATGCACATAGTTTCGACTCAAAAGCGATTTATCAATTGGCGGCAAAGATATGCGAAATCGGGACTACAAGAAAAAAATTTGACGACACCGGAACTCAAGTTTATAATAAAATATCTTATAAATCAAATGAATGACAACATAATTCAAGAGAGATAAACCAAAAAAGTGTTTGTCGTCAACTAAATAAATAAAAATGCGTACTGAAGACTTATTCCAGAAGTGATACGAATAAGATCTACAATAGTTTTCTCTAGATTGGGACTAAAAGAAATCTTGGTAATTGTGGAGTTTCTCTCGTAAGCTGATGCTTTTTGAATGTTAGTGTAGGAGAAAATTTTTCATAGATATTACTATTAGGACTTGAAAAATTATAATTTGGAATCAAGTTCTTTTAAAAAAAAAAAGTAATCATTAGATACTTTTGAGATACTCATAATTATTCAAAATGATAAAATAAGTAAGACATGCGAGTACATACTTGTTAGTATAGTAAGAAAGAACGTCAATTTGTTCCTGTTTAGCCATGTCGAATAAAGTGAACAAAAAGTTTTTATTTTTTTATGAGTGGCTCATTCAATAGAATATGACGCGAAGTTCGTGCTTGATAATAAAAAAGATATGATGATGTTATATGCTTCTTTCTATTGTCGAGAAGTTAAAGTATGAGCTTTTATATTATTATTTATCGGTTTTTTTCCTCTTTTCTATAAGTACCATATATAAAAACAAAATCAGAAATAAAAAGAAGTTGGAAAAATAACAATTCTATTTATATATATATAGATATATGTGAATGTATGTATGTATATTCACAAGTAGATATACAACACTTCAACTAGTGTACAAGAGATGATGATGATGTGTTGTTTTTAAGTTAGAGGAAAAAAAAAAGAAAAAGAAGCTTTTTATTTCGTCATTTGAAGTTGACGCACTCAACGATGTAGAAGTGTCTTCTATAATAATGATGATAATGAATATATAAGAAGTGCTTTTCTCGGCTGGTGTAGCGTCTTTTTTTTTTTTTTCTTGTCGTAAAGGATTATTAAATTCATAGAAGAGAAAACCATCGATTCTTGTTTTTTTTTTTTTTTTTTCTAGACTTTCCACCAATCAATATTCAATGAACGGTTAGATTCGATAAATTTCATTGGTAGGATTTATTTCCGAGAATAGAAGAAACTGAACAACAATGTACGGGTATATACAGTGTGATTAACATTCGGCATCATTCACTTATCAATTAAGAAAATTCAATTGAATCTATTCCGATAAAATGGCACATGTCGTAACTAAAAGAAAACTACATTCTAGAGACTTTTATTTAATTATAAATGTCAAATTTTCTAAGAATTCTTTTTTTTCTATTGAGAGTCAGTAAAAATATTATTATTTTTTTTTTTGTAAGTTTGAAATATTTAATAAATTTTCTCATGTTACCTATGTTTGAATTCAATAGAAAACAAGAAATATAATACTTGTATTCTTTTTTCTAGTGAATAGTAAAGAGAATCGATTATTCTATACTTTCGAAAGTCTTGAAGATCGTATTTTTTCTTGAAAAAAACAAAAACAAATCATATCGAAAATCAATGTCAATTCATTTTTTTCCCAAATCTTGAAATATTTCAAAAAAGAAATAAAAATCAACAAAATTTTTGCAAAAGATAATTAATTTCTTATCAATAAAATAAACAATAAAGATTTTACTTATCATCGATAATTTGTTGAGAATTACATATGCAAAAAGAAGCTTGTCTTTTTTTTTTTTTCTTGACGTCATTTTTATCTTTATTAAACAAACACAATGTCTTATTTTAATTGGCACAACATGTTGTTGAGTTTTTTCACTCTCATTTATATATATATATATATGCCTAGCAGTATGTGGCCATTGGGTCTAATTGTTTTTCACAAGAGCTAGTGAAAAATCAGTGCATCGTAAAATTTGATGATGACGTCAACGAAAAGCAAAAACCTGAAAATCATTGACTTATAAAAAATTATGTCGATATCTAATCTTATGCAAGTAACAAATGTTTATAATTGAACAGAAAGCAGCAGCATACATCTAAAAAAAATCTTATAAGATCGGAAGTGAAATTTCCGATAGACCACTAGCCAATCATGAGATGATGATAGAAAGAAAAAGAAATCGTCATCATCTAAACTTGCCCGATATATACACACGCACTATTTTGTCGAGTGGTACTTACTTGAAAAATTCCATAGGCGAATAGCTAATTACAATTTTTATTTATCAATTTTTATTTTTAATGATTAATTATTGAACAAAAAAAACTTGTCATTTCTTTTATTTGTTTGTAAGAAATGAAAACATGTAAGTTTTTCTCTGATCTGTTGGATGCCACTTTTTCGATTTCTCGATCTCCCGTTGTGTATTTAGTATCGATCTAGACACGTGTATATAACAATTACATCACTCTATAGGACAACGAATTTATTTAATAAGTAGATACTTGAATGAATTGCTTTTTTTTTCCTCTATTCTTATATAACAAATGTTCGAATGAATAATCATAGAAAAAAAAAAAAACCTATCTAACTAGCTTCAATTATCACTGTCTTGTCGTTTTTTAATGAAATAACACATATACAATTATGTATATATATATATGTACATTGGCTCATATAGATATAAATCAGATCATCGAGTAAAATATTGCGTTAAAACATCAAACTATCCATATTGTTTGAATATACTTGCATAATCAATTTGTATATGAAAACTGTGAACAACTATATACGAAAATTTTTCAATGCTGATAATAATATAGATTGAGTATATATATATATATATATGAAGTAGCATTAGAAGAAAAACGTATATTGTTGTTTGACTTTTCTTCTTTTTTTTTGCTTTAATTTACTCAGTTGGTTGTGTTTTAAGTGGTTCTTTGTCTTTCGGGTATCATATTCTTTCTTTCTTTTGTGTCTAGTTTTGAAAATGATTGCCATAGGCAATAAAGGTAAAGCAAAAAAAAAAAAAGAAAAATAAAACATTTGTATTTTTTAATGCCATTAAAGAGCAAAATGAACATATTATCAATTATGATTAACACGTGCTAACTATTACGTCAGAATCTTATGATTTATTTGAAAGGTCTTTTTTTTTCTTTATATTCTAAATATTGACACATGTGATGTATGTGAAGTGGTACGACATTTTTTTTCTCTTTTTTATATATTTAGTCGTTGTGCCAACATTTCAACCACTTATTGTCTCTATCCAGCTGCGTCCACTACTTGAAATTGACATTGAGAGAGTAGTTTCGTTTGGTCTTAGATGATGACAACAAGAATGATTGAATTTAACATGTAAAGGATTTATTCATATTCGACATCTGTATTATTCAAAATTAAATTATAATTGATTATTATTTCAATTAAATAAATGATAAGAACTTTTTTTTTCTTCAAATATTGATACTAGTAGCAGATTTAAACGAAAGATAGGTGATCAATTCCATTTACTATAAATCCTAGGAGATTCAGATAGTCTGCATCTGTATAGTGGTGATGGTACAACTTTAATCGATTAAAGGGGAAGAGAGGAATAGGTGTCTAATCAATAAAAAGAGAAATATCTAGATTTAAGTAATTGAATTTGATAGCAAAGATCTCGATCGAATAGTGATTTAACATCTGGAGAGATTCCCCCGCTGCTGCTTCCCACATGAGAAATTCATATTGATGGAAAAAATCTCGGGTTTAGACCCGCAGCTTTCTACTTTCATCTAGTTTTACCATCGAAATAAGTGTTAAACTTTTTTCTACTAGAAGACGATCGTCATTTGTTCATTTCATTGACATCTTTTATGAAAAATTTCCAATAAAATATAGATTCATATTTTTTTTTCAATCCTCGTTTTTTTTTTTTTCTTCTAAAAAAAACCAACTGGCCATATAAACACAATAAGAAGAATTGCACAACAGAAAAAAAAATAGAAGAAGTTTTGTTTTGTTTTTTTCATTTCTTCATCTATAATTATCGTGGTTCATGTTTAAGTAAATGATGATGATGATGTAAATGATGAAGTCGTTGATGTGTTTGTCCTGATATAGGTACTTGAGATTGAAACATGTTTGATTGCATTTGTTGTTGTTGTTGTTGATGATGATTATTATTATTTAAAGTTTGTTGTTGTTGTTGTTGTTGTTGTTGTTCATCACCACTATCACTACAATTCGTTCCAGATTTTTCTTTTGTTGCTTTTTTTGTTTTATATCGATGATTTTGAAACCAAATTTTAACTTGTGTTGATGTTAAACTTAATGAATGTGCTAATTGATCACGATCTTGTGAATTTAAATAACGATTTTTATCAAAACGTTTTTCAAGTTCCATAACTTGTTGTTGACTAAATAGAACACGTCGTTTACGTTTTGGTGCAAATGCAAATGGATGATATGGTGATTTTAATGGATCACCAATAGCTGTTCCTGATGGATACATATCATATTGTGATGATGTTTGACCAGTTAATAAACGTGACACTATTATACAATAAAATAATAATTTTAATAAAAATCAAAATAAAAAAAAAGATTTACTTGCAAATCTTGGATCCGTACAATGTGTTGGTTGATACCATGAATTTGTAATTGGTGTTGTTGTTGATGATGATGGATTTGTATTTATTGGTTGTTCTGTTTGTTGACAAAAATAATCTGAATAATTTCTAGCTTGACTTGAAAAATATGATGTAGCTGCATCTGAATAAAATTGATATGGTACACCAGTTGTTGAAAAATGACTTGCAAATGAATTTTGATCAAATGTTGAAAAAAATGGATCATATGTTGTTGAAGAATTTTCAGTTGATATTGGTAATGGTGTTGATCGTGATGGTGATGAATGATAGGATGACATAATAAGAAAGTTTTTTTTTCCTGAAACATCATGATGAGAATTTTTCTTTTTTTTTTTTTTTTTTTTTGGGATTGAATATGATCAAATGATTTTATTAGAAGTATGAATAAAAATGAGAAGAGATGAGGAGAAGAAGAAGAAGAAAAAAGAATAAAGAATTGGCCACTTACCGTATTCGTATGAGGCCGCACAGGATGAGAGATGCTCTGAGAAGGCTCTCAGAAAGCTTTCGAGATCGATTGAAGAGGTTCGACTCCACTCACAACCCAGACAAATATGTGCGTATGTATATGTGTTTCTTGTTCATTCTCACTCCTTTTTCTTTTTTTTTTTCGCATATACAAAAGAAGCCTCTTGTTTCTCTTCTTTTTTTTTTTTGTACTCTCACTATCGTTCTTATGTTTTCTATTGGTTGAAAAGAGAATTTACGTTTTATTGGTTAATAAGAAAAAGAGGAACGCAAAAAAAAAAAAAATATGTATATAACTGAGAACGAGAGAGAAAATAGAATACTTATCATAGATTGTAAATCAACAAAACACATTGGTGACAATTAATCTTCTCATTTGATTGATTATTGCTGAGAGAGAAAAACACTTGAATTAAAAATCATAAAAAAATAAAATTAATTTTTATATAGAATATTTTTTTGTTCTTTTATATAATCATTTTTTTCTTGAAATAACACATGAAAATATTTTATATTTTTTAAAGAGAAATTTTAATTATACGTTTAGAATCTTTCTGACTTTTGCTTGTTTAAAACAAAAAAAAAAGAAAGAAAGAAAGAAAGCTTTATTACAGATATAGAATAGCTCGAGGACATATTTCAATCGGTCTTTTTGTTTCTATAGTGATATACCACTCGGATTTCCTTGCTATTTTGCTTTTTAAACAATATAGACATAATGGAAATAAACGGAAAAGGTATTGTTGAATGTTTATGCTAGGATGATATTGTGCTTCATAATAGATTTGAATTCAAAAGTATATATATATTTATTTTTTTTTGCTTTCAATATTGATATTTTTAACCATCTTTATTTAAATGAAAAGAATATGATGTTCATACGAAAAACAAATACTTGAATAGAAAAGTAAAGAGCACTCAGCTATATCAATATGCCTAGTCTGATCGAAAATATTATATGTACTCGACTAGGCATTTTTATATTCGATGAAAGAGACAAAAAAAAAAAAAAGATTCGTTTTTTTTTCTTCTGTACACAGCCGTAAAACGACAAACTACTCATCGTTTTATTGATGGCGTATATATATATTCTATAGATCAAACGATATTTGAGTGTCAAAAAAAAAAAATTAATCAAAACAATTTGTTTCTATTACGTTGGTTTAATATATTAGTTTGTTTATTAAATTAATGGAATTCTTCTAAATACATTTCATTTTAAACGACGCCATTTATGACTTTTCATTTGTTTTTTTTTTACTTCAATTAACTTCGTAGATGTTTTTTTCCTACACAATGAAAAGTATGTAATCAATAAAAAAATAAATATATGATATCTTGAAAAAGTTTATTTTGAAATAATCTTTCATATAAAATTATCCACTAATATCATTATGAATTGATGTTGTTAGGAATTCTAGAGCATTTACTGAATTGAAATTACTTTGACACTTTCGAGGACGTTCCGAGTGAGGGAATGGGGTCACCCCAATCTCCGAAAATTGGGTTCTAGAAAATGCACACTTTCTTCCAATTTTGACCATTTCGGAACACTTGTTCGTATTAAAATTTGATTTTAAACTATGTTAATTTGTTGTATTTTGACTTTTCTTTTAGATATAAGATTAAATTTTTGAATCAAGTTTTATTATTTTATAACAATATTCAACGTCTTTTTATGTGCAGAAGAGTATTTCAATTTTGTCATTCAATTAGAAAAATAAATCAAAATTAGAACTTGAAATTCTGTATCCATTAATATAAAACGAATGGTTTTTTTAAAATATACAAGTTTAGAGAACATTACCAAAGAAAAGTCTGATTTCTTACTTGAAAAAATAATTTATTACAAATATTAAAACATAACTGATTTTATTTTTAAAAATATATATATATTACAAAGTTCTACGAAAATCTACAGGATGTCTTAAAAATTCGTGTAGATTGTTTACACGAATATTTTTTATACAATTCAAACAATTCATTGCTTTTTGTTTTTAAAAGTAATATGATAGTATATTCTTTTAAGTCTTATCATCATTTTCGAAATGTTTTTATTTGTCTTATATACATCAGTTTTTATATTATATCTATCGATAAATCATTTAAATGAAAAAAGACTTTTACATTTTTTAATATTGATATCAAAGTGAAATCATTTCAATTTGATTTTGTAAAATTATTCGACAAATTATACCTCGTATGGCTCCACATTGGAAGATATTCAAACTGCTGTTGTTCATAGAATGAAGCAAGTTATTGCAACAACTTGAACACTCAATAGTGGCACATTTTCATAATCATCATGAACTTTTGTCTATAGTATATACAGCTAGTTAA